GCCCTCTGGCGTCCCAAGCCAGCTCTTAATCAACACGCCACTCGGCTGGCCCAGAGCTCGCACTCTTGAGCAAGCTTTTAACCAACTGAGCCACTCAGCCGGCCCTGTAGGGCCAATTTTTAGCTTCATTGGAGAGGGTCATCTTCTCATAGTACTAACTGTATTAGTAATTAATATCTTTACAGACTGAAAATAAAATGTGTTACTGAAAATAAATGTGCATTTATTAGCATTGGACAGCTTTATTTTCTGTGTTAAATACATCCAGCAAAACCTAATTGCTAAGCTAATTCTTTACCAAAATGAAAACGAAAATTAAGACGTTAGCAAATGGAACATTGGACTTGGAATCTTTAGTAGCTCTATAGTTAAAAGAGAGAGAGAACTTCAGATCTATTTTCTAAATCTATTTTTTTCCATTGTTATAGGAGCTTCTGTTCTGTTACCTTAATGATGAGGATGAATTATTTAGTCCCATGATTTGGCTAAAATTTTTCATCACCTGCTGCTTTCCCATTAATTAAGCTCTACCTTATTCAGGGAAACTGAGTGCCATCTTGAAATGCTGATAAATGTCAAATAAATCTTAATATATATGTTCCAGTTTGCACTTTATTTTGCTTTTGTGACACTAAACATCTAATTTGATTATCTTTTTTGATTAACTCTGTCAGATTTTTTATTTAACGTAAGATAGAAACCTTAGGTCCACCCTAGTCCTAATTAAACTTTCAAGTTTCTTTTTAATTTATTCACAAATAAACTGGAAATAATTATACCATAGTAATTATACATTAGACTTTTATTAATTGTCTTGCTTCATGCTTATCATTACCATCGTCTGATTTCTGAAGTTTGTGTCTAAATTCTTGTTTTCTTCGTTGCGTTCACAAAAACTAACTCTTGACTCATGAACATACTCTCTGAATGTTCTCTTTTAGTCTCAGCCTACTCTTTTTAAATGAATTTGTCATTTGTAGGATGAACTGGCGTCTTTGAAAGAACAACTGGAAGAGAAGGAATCTGAAGTAAAAAGGCTACAAGAAAAATTGTTTTCCAAGATGAAAGGAGAAGAGATTGAAATTTTTGATCGAGGTAAGAATATATACTTAATACTGGCTATCTTATTATGTTAAAATCCTCCAATATCTATAAAAGAAACATGTTAGGTGGTGTATAATTTTAGCATTAAAGAATGAGAAGAGTAGCAGAGGCCATCTAGGCCAAGGACCACAGGGAATCATCCAAGACCCTTTCCTGGACCTGGGTTCTATAAACTTCCTCCTCAGCAGCTGGAGAAGGGCAACTCTGTACTTTATTGGGTGTTTATTTTAGGCTACTGAATTATAAAGTGTCATCGTGAGGGAGTTCTCATCCAAATTATAATACAAGGGAGTGTCAAAAAGAATTAAGAAGAAATATTACTATGTCCCAAAATTATTTCCCTCTAAACTGAACTAGAAACAGCATGAAGACTTTTAGAAATCTTGTCTGCCCTGTTGAAAAGAGAGAAAAGACCCTGTATCTTTGGAAAAATAATGAAAATTTCTTATCATGCTTTGAGCCCATGAACTTCTAGAAAGCAAAAATAGGCTAATTCTGTGTTTGGGAAAATGCATGAATTTATCCAAAAATTGTTTTCATAATGGAGGAGGTTTGTTCTGGATATTATATGGACATCAATTTCTAATAATGTAGGTTATACTTGATAGAAAATAGCTTGAATGAAATGTATTGTTTTGAATTATGTTTGGAAATATAAATACACATAACATCTGACAACACTAAATCAAATTTAACCTGTCTTTGTTGTTACAATGATTACTGTGGCAGAAGCAACTTCTGACTCATTTGAAACAAAACAAATTCCATTTAGTATAGCTTTGGTACATTTTTTGTCCATTGTGTGAGCATTAGTATCCTTATTGTCTGTTCAAGAGGGGCTTGAATGAGATTACCGCTGAAGTCTTCGTGGCTTCAGAGTACCCTGGCTTTACATACCTGTAGGTATCACAGTTTCCTATTCATTAGAAAACTCAATTCATCAAATATTGAGAAAAATAGATTGTTTCCCCTCCATAATTTGGCATATGTAGAATTTTATGTTCTTAAAGGACAGTAGTGCTACCCTAAGTCTGATCCAAGGACTGGTACCAGTCTGAGCTGCTTGTTACCTACCGTGTACAACCAGATAAATACAGGGATTGAGAGCCAATATTCAGCAACTTGACGGCAATCTGATGTTGACATACCATCTAACTGCATGATCAGTGGACTCATCTCTTTAAATAGGAGATAGACCATTTCAGTGTTATTGAGCTCGAGTGGTGAGTTGAATGTGACATAAGCAATGTACTAGTCACGTTCAGGAGGGCCATATATTGAACTGTAATGGAAATGTAAAGAAAAGGCAACGCAACATTAACTGGCTTTTCATCACATTCAGTGTAAGAAGCTCTTATCCTCCATAGGCCTAATTTTAATACGAGAAAACCAAGGTTCATAAAAATGAAGTAACAGAGGTAATTACTCAAACTGAGATCTTCTGATTAATTACATTAGATTCTCTTTTAAACCTCACACAAAGCAATAAGTAGGATAGTGCCAGTCCTGAAGTCACAAAATAGTGCTTAATATTCAGTCTTTATGGGGTTAGAGTGTCTTTATTTTAGGTAAAAGGAGGCGAAGTAATAGTGCTTTAATAAAAATATTATTTATTGTGGTAATGTATGCTAACTTCCAATTCAATGGGTTTTCCTGCACAGATGAAAATTTTAAAAAGAAGCTCAAAGACAAAAGTAAGGTTTTTGGTGTATTTCCATCAGCCTTTACACTCACCAAAAGTACTACTTGGACTGTTCTTTGCATGTGTTTTAAAACATTTCTCTCACCAGAGATGTAAAGTTGCTTCATCTACAAGCTCTCCATTTCTTCAGAGTGTACAAAGTAGAGGGTGGACAAACAATAAAAACAAGAAGTAAAAGATCGTTTTGCAGATTTTATCTGATTCAGCCCTTTTGTTCCACAAGATACAGTGGGGCACCCAGAGTGGTGGAGGGGAAAACCATTTTCTCTGTGGCCCAGGAGATATGGCGTCACATAATGTTTATACTCCTGTGAACACCTACTGTTTTGAAGACTTACCATGGTTGAAAGATCATTTTGAACTTTGCTTTTCAATGTTTTGTAGCCCACTTTCTCACTGAGATCTAGTTTAGGAGGGTTTTTTTAAAACATACCCTCTTGATGTTACAAAAGAGATTGTACCCAGGTTGATTAATGGAGCCTGGATTATTTAAGGCAGCATAAAGGTAAATCCTAAACTGGCTGTTTCTTCCAGACATTGAATTCTTAAATCAAAGGAATTTGCCTTTAAAAAAAAAAAAAAAGGCAGTTCCTGTAAAATAGACCTTAATTGAAAATGTTATATCATGCTGACTGATGCATCACTGTTTTAAAAATTATCTTTAGTAGTTTCTTTTTTTCTCAAAAGTAGGCGGCAACTTCAGTTAATTTTTATTTCTGTTTCCAATTTTTAAATTTGTGATTTCATTCTAGGTTAACTTTTTATCTTTAAAATATTTGTTTTTTATTATTAAAGTTACATACTTTTGTATTTGAATATCAAATTTTAAGGAAAGTCACATTTATTTTACTTTGACCTTTATGTTTTAAAATGCAGAGGGTGCCCAAAAAATGTATACACATTTTAAGAAAGGAAAAAATCATTAAAAGATACTCAATATATACCGATAACAAAAGATGAATACAAGTCACGTTTGACTTCTGCAATTACAAGAGGTGCTCAAAGAGGTTACCATCGACGTCCAGAAACTTTTTTTTTTTTTTTTTTAGCTGAGCCATCCTGCCACCTGTTGGCAGCTCAGCGGCTACTCAGTTCGGGCCGGGACTCGAACCGCTGTTGCTCAGAGCTCAAACTCTTTTTTTTTTTTTTTTAAGATTTTTATTGGGGAATTGGGGGGAAGGGAACAGTGCTGGGGAATTGGGGAAGGGGAACAGACAAGTTGCTGTCGTTTTTGTTCTTCAGTCTAGTTGTGGAGGACGTTGCTTCACTGGCCCAAGTTGGCACCATCATTGCACTCTTCCCGGGCAAGGCAGATCAGTCGCTGGCTTCTGGACGGCCACTCACGCTGGCTGCTGGCTACACACGGTAGCCCATGGCAACCCACTGCAGCAGGGGCTGCAGCCTATGCTGTCGCTGGTGACTCATGGCAGCGCAGCTCCAGGTTGAGCTGTTGTTCAGCATCTTAGCTGTGAGGGCAGTGTCACTGGCCCTCCTATGTGGGATCCGAACCGGAGCCTCTGGCATCCCAAGCGAGTTCTTAACCATCGCGCCACTTGGCCGGCCCAGAGCTCAAACTCTTGAGCGAGCTCTTAACCAACTGAGCCACTCGGCCGGCCCTCAGATACTTTTGATTATGGCGAACTACTGCTTGAGCACTTCTGATCAAAGTGTCCACTTGTATACATTTTTTTGGCACCCCTGGTAGCATTGGAAATGAAGTTTATAGATGAAGCAAAGCACTTAATATCCTTCTGTATGGAACCTACAACCAGCTTCTTAGCATGACCCTCATGTAAACATCACATTCCATCAGACTCTTACCATTTGTGTCTCCATCTTGGTTAAAACTGAATATCATTTGCTCTGCTTTTGTCATTATGTATGCCTTGTTCATTGCTTTTACCCACTGCTTTTAGGTTTCGTTTTTGAAAAGTCTGTGTCTTTATTGTTATAGCACTGAAATTTCACCTTCAGTATTTTTATGAACACTTTATTGTTATTACTTTGAGAGAGGGTAGTTAGCTCTCACTTACTCTTATTTTCTTTCTGGAATGATGGACTATTCAGGTGAGAGAAATAGAAGGTGTTCATTTTTCAGATTTTTCCCTAAAAGAGAATATGGATGGTAAATGTGCCCTTTAAAAGAAAAAAAACAAACACAACAAATCATTAACATCTTTACCTTAAAACATTTCAGTCTGAAGAGCCAGTAGCTTGTCATTATTGTCAGACGTCAACTGACTTCTGATCTGATGTTGTGATATTTTCAGATATTGAAGTACAAAAAATGAAAAAAGCTGTGGAGTCTTTGATGGCAGCAAATGAAGAAAAGGTACCTAGATGAAATTTAAATATTCTTTTGGATGTGTTATAACACCATTTTCAGAATTGCAATCTTGAATTCTTTGTCATTTCAATCACATATTTCCATGTCTTTAAGTTTGTTTTCTGGAGATTTTTCATTTTCTTTCTGAGCTGCCTTGTTACCTTGGTTATTCATGGCAATTAATGGATTGTTTCTCTTCCTGGGCATCTATGGGAGTGAATTCTGCAGCAGGTTGGTAGGAAGAGGTCTTTCCAGTGGGTAGCGTTGGAGCATTTTATTTTCTCTTTTGCTGTTCTGGCTTCTCCTGGGTAAAAGATTTTCTAGAGAGGTTGTCATGTCCTCTGTGACCAGGCTGCCTCGGTCTCAGGGCACCACCCCGTGCGAGGGTGTAGTAGGCAATGAGGTTCTGAGCCCCTGAAACCCCAGTGCTGTCCCTGCAGTCAGATGCAGAGCTGTGTAACTCAGCAGCCCTGGGTGTCTCTGGTGCCATCAGCCAGGAAAGATGGGGTCTTGGTAGGCCGGGAGAGGTAGCTGGTGCGTTTGTGGCTTTGTCCTCTTCTGAGTAATGGTGACTACCAGACTGCAGCTGCCACACCCCTGTAGCTCCTTCCTTGTTACTGGAATTAGCTGCACTGTGCGTCTGCTGCTCAGGGACTGTCTCTCCAGTTCTCAGGGCTGTAGATATTCTGCTCTTTAATCAGATACTGCTACTGTTTTTTTTCTGGGGCCTGCTGCTAGCTCTGGGAGGGTGCTGGGAGGCAGCCAGGCTCCATGGCTTTGTTTTCTGCCTGGCAGTGAGGGCTGTTAGATTGCAGTTGTCGCTCTTCTGTATTCCATCTTTGCCCCGAGGTCTCTGCCCCAATCACGGGGTTCAGCCATGTTATATGCTGATCCCTCAGGCAGAATTGCTGGGCGCGCAGAAAGTGCACCTGCAGTCTCAATCCTCCCCTCTGCCGGGATCACACTGAGCTCTGGGCTGCGTCCTGCGGAGCCCATCTCTGCACTTCTCCCATCCTTCCTCCCCTGCGCACCTCGATGTGCCCACCTTCAGATTTTTCAATGTGCTGATCTCTCAGATGTGTTTGTATGTTACATAGGGAGTCCTTTGTTGAATTATAACTGTTCAATTTGTTGTAACTTCAAGGGGAGATATCAGCGACCACCCCTCACGCTGCTATGTTTCTGACACCCATAACACCATTTTGATCATTCCATGCATACCTTGAATAATGCTGACATTAAGGGGTAAGCGTGCTCCCCTCCTGCCCGAGTGTGCCCACTCTCGGTAGTCACAGTTGTAATTACGGCTGTGTGCAGAAGAATGGAGACCAGTAGCTCCACTGAGAATTTTCTCTTCCCTACCCCCAATGACTTTAGAGATGTTCGAGCCATCAGATCAGTTCTTTATATTCGGGTGACAAATGTGAGAAAGGTTATAGTACATAGCACATCCTTTCCGTGGTCACTGGAAATTCTGGGCTACCATATGAATCCTGAAGGAGGTCGCCTATGACAACTCCAGCTTCATGATAATGTTGATTTTCTTTTTCATATACATATTATTTCCTTCACATTCCTGGCCTCTTTCACATCTGAGATTACCTCTGCTTTCCTGAGTGGTGAGTTGCCAGAAAACAGAGGCACAGACACCATGAAATCAACTATGGCTCCGGGCTTTGTGTTAGCTATGTTGGCCTAATGCCAGGGTCCCCAGTTTGTTTCCTCTGGTTGTGTCTCCACTTCATCCTGCTAAGAACAGAGATGCAGTTACCCTGCTAAGGAAATGTGTTTCTTCGTGGCTTACCTGACCGGACATGTATCCAGTAGGAAGCAATAGTCGGGTTTAGCTCCTGTCATCAGAACTGTTCTTCCCTCATGTCCTTTAATGAATAAAAGAAGGAGGCATTTTCCCAAGAAAAGAGTAACTTCAAGGAAGTCAAAACAAGAGCATGACAAAGAATTTTGTCTTGATCTCTTTCTCTGATCATAAGTTTTTTTCTCCAGTTCTTGCCTACTCTGTTTTATTCGTCTGTTTATTTTTGCTTTTTATTCTCTTTATTCCATGAAAATAAACTCATTGTTTTACCCAACCACCCCTATATATACATACATACACACACACACATACACAGAGGGTACCAAAAAATATATACACATTTTAAGAAAGGAAAAACGTGTATTAAAATTGTAATAATATATACTGATAACAAAAGATGAATACAAGTCGTGTGTATATGTTTTAAGAGATGTTAATGCTTTGGTCAACGTTGCTCAAGCAGTAGTTCGCCATAATCAGAAGCGCCTGGACGCTGATGGTAACCACTCTGAGCACCTCTTGTAATTGCAGAAGTCAAACGTGACTTGTATTCATCCTTGTTATTGGTATATATTGAGTCTTACCATTTTAATAGTTTTTTCCGTTCTTAAAATGTGTATACTTTCTTTTGGCACCGTGTGTATGTGTGTGTGTGTGTGTGTGTGTGTACTCATACACACATATATGTGTGTGTATGTGTGTATATATATATATGTATATATATACATGTATATATACACATTTATTTTTGCTAGTCTTTCCCACTATTGAATAAAAATAAAAGTAATTAGCAAGCTGCATAAAAATAAAAATAATTAGCAAGCTGCCCACAGAGCTTTTCTTTGAAAAAAAATCACCAAAATTCATTTTAATTTCTCTTCCTCAAAAAAAACAATAACAAACAAAACTCTCAATGTTGAATGAGGGCTTGTTAGGTGCTCAAATGCTATAGGAGCACCAAGAGTGGTTTTAGAAGGCTTCAAAGAGGACATATTTGAGCAGATTCTGAGGAAGAGCAAGAGTTCTTCATCGGGGAAATGAAGGCTTCTAGGCAAAGGATCCATAAGAGAAAACACATTTTCAAAACCAAGGCCTGAAACATCCCAGTGCACACTGGGAACGTTCTGGAGCATGAGATATAGGTGGAGGGGGTAGATGAGGCTGACAAAATTGCTGCAGTGAATTGTAGGCAACTTGTATGGAAGGCTAATGATCTGGGGTTTTAACTTGTAGACTTTGGACTTACAAGGTCTTAGAAAGCTAACTCTGGTGGCAGATGGAGGCAAGAATAAGGGAGCGAGAGGGCCGGCCGAGTGGCTCAGTTAGTTTAAGAGCTCGCTCAAGAGTGCGACCTCTGAGAAACAGTGGTTCAATGCCCGGCCCGAGCTGAGCTGCCAACAACAACAACAAGAACAAAAAAGTATGTAAGAATAAGGGAGTGAGAATGAAGATAGAACAGTTAAGAGGCTGTTAAAATAGTCTAGTAATGAGTAATGAAGAGGGATTGAAATAAAGCAATAGCATGAAGTGGTAAGGAGAGAAGAGATTTTTAGAGAAATTTACAGGTTATTAAGGCTTTTAAATCTTTGGATTTGAGAGTAAGTTTTTGGTTTGGGCAAATGATGGTGCCCTCAAAGAGTTAAGGGTATCCGAGCAAAGGCTGAAGTACTGGGGACGAATAATGAGCTTCATATTATATATATCTAATTTGATGTGTTCATGGAACATTTAAAAGATTTCTTATAGAAAGTTGGAAAATGAATCTAAATTTTAGGATTAATATAGAAGTATAGATTGGTAAACAGCGAATCTCATCAATTTTAGGAGAAATATAGAGTTGTAGATTGGTAGGTACTAAACCATAGTTGATGTATCAGTTAGCTTTTGCTCCATGACGAATCACATTTATTGTTTTTCATACTTCTGTGGGTTGGCTAGGTGGCTCTTCTGATCTGCGTTGGCACAGCTAATGTCTGCAGTTAGCCAGTGGCTGGGGTGGGGCTGGATGGTGTGACTCACATGTCTGGTGATGACAGACTGGTCTAGGTTGGCCCTAGATGAGAGGTCTCTTCTCTAAATGGTTTTTCATCTTCCAATAGACTAACTTATGCTTCTTAACATAGTGGCCTTACTGTTCCTTAGAGCAGCAAGAGAGAGCAAGCCCCAATGTGCAAATACTTTTCAAGCCTTTACTTGAACCACATTTGTTGACATCTCATTGGTCAACACAGGTCACGTGATAAAGACCAAAATCAGTGTGGGAGGAGCTAGGGAGCTCATTTTTGTTATCTATCAGAGTGAGGGTTTGGGAAAAGAGGAGCATAAAGGACAAAATCTTGAAGCTCTACATTTTATAGTATGGATTGGTTAGATAGTGGGACTTAACAGAAGTAGAATATTTATCTAAGAAATTGAAATGAAAGAAAAGTAAAAGAAGAAGGAAAGAATGGGGTCAATCAATTGCCAAACAGAGGTCAAATTAGAAAAAGGATGAAAATATTTATTGTTTTTAGTAAATAGAAGGTCTCTAAAGACTAACGGAAACAATTTTGGTGGAGTGTTTTGAGAAGGGAAAGCCAGGTGGTGATTAATAACAGCTGAAAAAGACAGCAGGTATAGATCTCTTTTCTAAGACTTGACATATAAGTTAGGGAGGAATGTTATTAAAGTTGATTTTTTTCTTGTTTTTTTTTTGTTTTGTATCTTATTATCTTGTTTTGTTTTTGTTTTTTAAAGATGGCAGCTGAAGGATAGGATCTAAATTTAGAGGTACTTTTTCTATATCTCTGATGTACATAGGAAAAATAGTCTAGATAATACCAGTTTTACTAAAGTTTAGAAGTATTCTTTGAATAATGTAAATAATTCACGTCTACTTATTCTTTGTGTTGCCATTACTTTTGCTATTTAAAATCATACTATTAAAGGTGATAATTTATTTTATTAATAGGATCGGAAAATAGAAGACCTTCGGCAGTGCCTGAACAGGTACAAGAAAATGCAAGATGCGGTGGTACTGGCCCAAGGTAAAAAAGGTAGTGTAGCTCTAAAGGTTTTTCTACTTAACTGGATTTAAAGTAGCTGTGAACTTTTACATTTGGCCTCAATGTCTTTCGTGGAGCATACCCATTATCCCAAATTAGATAGCTCATTCATTTATTCAGCACTATTGTTAGGTATTGTTCTCTGCCAGAAAGTATAGCTAAAAAGCATACTGTAGATTGGTTGGTCAGGGGGAGTTTTTCCAAGGAGTTCATTAGATAGCATTTCAAAGAGAGAGTACAATAGCACATACAAGAGCTTTTTATGGAGGGCGGGGATTAGGTAGAACTCGGGTGTGTTTGAGAAGTAAAAGACCAGTGTGATTGGAAGGTAATGAGCAGGGGGGTGGGAAGTGAGATGGGATGATAGAGGTGAGCACCAACTAGGTTGTGCAGGTGAGGAATTTGGCTCTTTCTTGGCCCAGAAAGATCCCCTGAAGGGTCTTAACAAGTTAGTGACATGATCGTTGGAGCAAATGGACCTAATGGGAGGGGAGCAGTGTGGGAAAGAAAGAAAGCCAATCAAGAGACTCTTGTAGTATTCCAAATGGAAAGATCTGATGGTACTGACTGGAAATATAGTTTGGTGTTAGAGTCAACATGATGGTGTGATGAATTAGATGAGGAGAGTGAAGAGGAGCAAAGAATCAAGAAAGATCAACATTTCTGACTAAAGCAACTAGGCTGATGATAATACCATTTACCAAGATGGACAAGACTGGAGAAGGAACATTGGAATGGTTAAGGGGGATGCTATGCTTGCTGTTCAGCTTTGAATGTGTTAAGTTTAAAAAAAGTGAAATATTGAAGTAAAGATAAGTATGCATTTTGTTGTGTTTATTATTATTTTATCTGTAGATGAGCCAATTGGCTGTCCTCAAATGTGGAAAAGCTTTGGGAGTCCTTCAACACAAAGGAAACATTGAGAACTTTGAAAGTTCTATTGTTTTTTTAGCAATACATAGATGGGGTTATTTGCTCTAAAAATAAGCACAGGAAATTAACCGGTCTTTTATAAGGTTACTCAAATTTTGGAATTTTAATTTTAATGAGTTCACAAAGAAAATCCCACTTTGGACCAGAATTTTGGGGAAAAAATAGAGAATCTTCATTTTTTTTTGTTTTTGTCCACAGGGCCTACCATATATTAATCCTTTACAAATATATGAATGAGCAAGTGTACCTCTAATTATCAGTGTTGACTTACCACAATTCTCACCACTCTGCATTTCTTATACCTTCAAAAGAGTCTCTCTTTTTTTAAGGAATATTGCAAATTTTCAAGTAATTAGTTTTTACATTAGTTAAAACATTGTTTGATTTTATAGAATCTCAACACTAATTCTTGTGTTTAAAAACCAAGGAAGAACAGATTGATTCCTACAATTAGGCCATATTGTAAAGTATTTAAAAAGTAGAGAAAAGGGGTAAAAATCACTTATAACTGAACTGGCATGATCACTATTGGCGTTTTCGTGTCTTTCTTTGTAGCCTTTTTTCCATGCATAAAAATGTGCAGCTAAAAAAGGTGGTTTTAAACCATGTACAGCAGAATAGATTTTCAAAAAATTGAAAATGATGGTCTGTTCCTATAAAGAGTTATATAAATAGTGATTTCTCACCAGGATTTATATTTATTTAGTTAATTCTCATACAATTCTAATAACACCTAAATTCTAATAAAATTAGAATAAAAGTCTAATAAAAACTAACTTAAGAGGCTAGTATATATCTAGTTTAATATCTTTAAACAAGTAAATGATTTGTCATTTTCTATTCAGAGATTAGAGTTTTAAGCATCATTGGTTTTTTGTAAAAAGGAATATTTGGCACTTTGTTCAACACTTAATCCTTTTCATTTCTAGAGATATAAAAAAATTCTAGGGGCAGCCGGTCATTTCAGTTGGTTAGAGCGCAGTGCTCATAACACCAAGGTGGCCGGTTCAATTCCCACATGGGCCACTGAGATGTGCCCTCCACTACTAGAATGAAACAACTACTTGACTTGGAACTGATGGGTCCTGGAAAAGCACACTGTTCCCCAATAAAAAAAATAAAAAAAATTCTGAAGGTTGCTGCTTTGCTGGATATGTCGTTGTTTTTCCTCATTAGGCTGTTCTTTCTGCTTTGAAATGAATGGAATGAAAGGATCCTCTTGATGGATCCAAGGGTGGTTATCTTTTTTTCTTTCTTTTTTATCCTTTCTATGTTTTTTCAGGAGCACAATAGTGATGAAAACTGAGTTGTTTAAATGGTGACTCTGTTGCAGTTCAGAATCAGTTTGTTGTACCATCACTGGTATTCTTCAGCTTGGTTATTTTTGGGCTGAAATTTGTAAAGCCCCACATTTTGAAACAAAATTACAGGAAGGTTGTTGAATTAAATTAACTTTTCATTTCTATCCTGTGAGTTCATGATTGCATCTATTAACATCACTATAAATTGATAACCGTTAATACCATTGCTGGATACACACATGGCCCAAGAGCTCCTGGAACTCAGGTGCTTGCAGTTTAAGACATTTTCTAGGTCGCACGTTGTTTTTCAAGTGATGCCAGGAGGAGTTGACTCTTTGATTTTTGAGGATCAAACACATTTTTACATTTAATGTGTTTGGGACTCTTATCTTCTTCCAAAAGTGAAATATAAATGAAAAGCTGCTGTCCCCCTTTTTGCTTTGTCTTTTCTAGGCCAAGATGGTGACTATGAAGACCTGCTCACCACCACTTCCATCTCCACTTTGCTGGAAGCGCAGGGGTTTAGTGATCTGGAGAAAAGCCTATCGTCTACCCCAATAACCGGATCTCCCAGCCATGAATCATTTAACACCAGTGTTCCAGAAGAGGTATTTACGAGCTCTCAATATTTTCTTCGTCTTGAAGCGTCTGGATCATTGAAAGCTAAAATGCTGTTGAAACATGAAAGACATGGGTTCTTTTCTCAGTTCGATTACTGACTTGGTTTGTCCTGGAAGTTTTTGCATCCTACAGACCTGTATTTGAAATGTAGGGGTTTTTTTCCTTCTCTTTAATAAATAAATGGCCCTGGGCAATGTTAAAATTGCTTTCATGTTTTAGGGAAAACATGTGAATCCCTTGGAGATGGGTGTCATCTTAAAGATGAGATTATAATCTACATATTATAAAAGGAGGGAATAAGTAAAGTGGGGATAAAGTGAGGTTATATAAAGAAATTGATTTTAGTCACTTCTGCTGGTGACTGAAAGATGATGGAATAAAATTTCCCTCTGACTTCTTTAAATTTGGAAGAAGCAACTGGAGGAGAATAAAAGCCTTAAACTCATTTACTTTACTTTCACATCAGACTGCCACCAATAACCATTTCCTAACATCTGTTGCACACCACCCCAAAACTTGGTGGCTTGAATGACAACGTTTCTTTTGCTGGCAGATCTGCCATTTGGGCAGAGCTCAGCAGGAGCATCTATCTCATCTCTGCTCCACTTGGCAGCAGCTGGAGGAGCGTGAAGCTGGGGGCGTGAGTCATCTGCAAGCTGGTCTTTCATCTCTCTGGCGATTGAGGCTGGCTGTTGGCCGGGACCTCAGCTGAGGCTCTGGCGTGTGACTGATTGGCTTCCTCACAGCATGGTGGCTGGGCCCTGAGGATGAGCATCCCAAGGACAGGACTAGGCAAATTTGTATCACCTTTTATGACGTGTCTCAGAAGTCACGTAGTATCTCTTCTCCTGCAGAGAGGAACTAGGCCCTACCTCTTGATGGACAAGGGGCAATATCACAATTGTAAGAACCTGTGGGATGGGATATATTGGTGCAGTCATATTTGGAAAATAGTCTGCCCCTCCCACTCTCTGGCTACAGCAGTTTACATCCTTCTCACATGCAAAATATACACATTCCCCCTCAGTCTCATTCTGATTAGGCATCAGCGTCCCAGGCACTTGTCATCCAGATCAGGCCAAGATAGAAGTGAAACTCCTCAGTGCATCTTCTTGGGTACATTCTTGAGTACCATTCCACTCAGTTTAAGAACTGGGAACTTACAGGACAAGCTACCTGTCCTCCATACACTTGACGTACAGTAATGAAATAAATATAACTGCTGTAGGCACTTTCATTCAAAAAGAGGGAAGTAGAAGGCACACAGGTGTCGTTAGTCTGTAGCAATTCCAAAATGCAGCCCAGTACGTGGTGCCGCTCCTTTATTAGTGCTCAGTCCTTTGGGCTCTTGTTCTTTCCGAGTCATCCTGCCTTTTCCACAAGAAGGAGCCCGTATTTGCAGATAGATGGTTTTCTGTGAAAGGGTCCATGTAGGTCCAAAGCTGGCTTTTCATTTTCTACCGTCTCTGTCCCCTTTAGTCTAATTTGGTGTAATACTTTAAACATTTAGAATGTCTTAGGAATCAATTTGTAATCCATTCCATTAGATTAAAGCATATCCACAAAAACCTTCACAATAAGCCTTTCTCTATTTTACATTCCCTATGAGGCTACTGTGGGATATCCCTTTATTTTTAGTTTTCTTTAAAAAAAATTTTTTTAAATTTTTTCTATTACAGTTGACATTCAATATTATATTAGTTTCAAGTGTACAGCATAGTGGTTAGACATTTACATAACTTACAATGTGATCCCCTGATAAGTCTAGTACCTGCCTGACACCATACATAGTTATTACAATAGTATTAGACAATATATTCCCTATCCTGTACTTTACATCCCATGACTATTTTGTAACTGCCAATTTGTACTTCTTTTATTTTTTATTTTTTTATTTTTTTGGGAATAGCCCTGGTCATTGGTTACACATTGCTTTCATGCTACAATGGCATAGTTGACTTTTAGGGAGGGCACAGCTCACAGTGGCCCATGCGGAGATCGAATCAGCAATCTTGGTGTTTATCAGCACCACGCTCTTAACCAACTGAGCTAACCAGTCACCCCCAATTTGTACTTCTTAATCCCTTCATCTTGAAGAGTTCAATGAGACAGCACCACTTTACATCTTCCTGAAGTCTTAACAAAGCCACACATTTGACTTCATTTTAAGATTGTTTTCCTGACAACACCCTGAAACCATTTCTTAATTATAAATGTAATGTGCTGCCTAGAGACTAGGAATGGGACACAGTTTTATTTTTGAACGAAACAACCCTGGCTCCCTTCTATTTAACAGTTCCTTCTTTGGTCATCTTCTACTCTAACATTTTACTATTGGTAGTGAGAAGAAACCAAATGTCATCTTTTTATATCTGTTCCTAATGATTACATAATGAGAAAATGAAATTAGAACTGAATGAAAATGAATTCAAGGAAAAAACAATTAACATTTCTCTCTCAAATGTAAGAGAGGGCTACATATTTCACTAGCAAGAAATTAGTGGGTCGGGGGATCGGAGGAAGGTAGTCAAAAGGTACAGGCTTCTAGGAATAAGATAAATAAGTACTGGGGATATGATGTACAGTATGGTCACTATCGTTATCACTGTTGCATAGCATATATGAAAGTTGTTAAGAGAGTGCATCCTAAAAATTTTCATCACAAGGAAAAACACATTTTCTTCCTTTTTAAAAATCTGTACAAGGTGATGGATGTTAACTAACTTACGGCGGTAATCATTTCACAGTGTATGTAAGTCAGGTCTTTATGCCGTGCACCTTAAGCTTACACAGTGCTGCATGCCAATTATATCTCAATAAAATTGAAAGGAAAAAAAACCACAACCAATTAGTTAAGGAATAAGAAATATTTTAGAGAGGGAAATCCCCTAATTGTTAAATATATATTTATACTGAAGGGAAAAATTCCTCTTGACAGCCGATGAGTGTCCTGCATTTATAGAGAGAGACTGCTATTATACGAAGGTTACACCCAGGTAATCTCATATCCTTAAAAAAGAAAAGTCTTTGTTATGTGAATGGTAGTTGAATGACAGATTTTTTAGTTTGGAACAAGAATGGTTTGATGAGGTTTGAGGATGGTTAGTCACATTTTTAAAGAAAAGCTGGGAGAGAGATTTCAGGTTGGAGTTGAAAGCCCTGAAGTTTGAAAGGAAATCAAGAAAATGAGTTTTCTTGATTTTCTTAAATCAAGGATGAGTCATAAAGATTTAACCTGAAAAAAAAAAAACTCTCCTATTTTATAATAATATGACTTGTTCATGGCTTTTTTTTTTCCTTTTAGCTGAGCCATCCTGCCACCTGTTGGCCGGGCATCAAACCGCTGTTGCTCAGAGCTCGCACTCTTGAGCAATCTCTTAACCAACTGAGCCACTCGGCTGGCCCATAATATGACTTGTTAAAGAACAAAATTCGACTGAATAAATTTTAAAGATCTTACTGGCTTTATTCAGCAATTCATGAATCTAACAGCATCCAGCCTAGGAGAAAGAAAGGAAGTCTGAGGAGCTGCACAAAATAAAAAGCTTTTTGTAGAAGGAAGTAGGAACTGGGAAGTCACACTTAGCATTTACTGATTGGTTAAAGCAGAGTTACTTTCCTTACATGGAGCAAAGGGAAGTCTTGGCGCCGCAGGGTTAGGTCACATGGAGGAGGAAGCAAGTGCTGATGGGTTGACCTAGGCCTTTCTTTTCCGTGAGAGCTTAGCATCGAAACTTAGTTGATTTCAGGTTTGCTGATGTGGGGTTTAGCATGAGCCACTCCATCTTGGGCCCAATCTTGTTACTTTAGCAGACTTCACATTTTATAGCCTTTTACAGTGTCAGAGGATGAGATCAACACTCAGTAACTGAGAAAAAATCACAAAGCTGAATTTATTGCTTATGTAAGCAAGTTAACTTTGTTGATCAAGGACATTCTCTTTCAGCTGATCATAAATAGGGGTTTTAGGGTTCGTGGAGCTCAGGGATTGGTAGACTTTCAGAGGCAGGAATGAGTTGACATCAGCTCTATATGGTTATGAAGGTGAGACTGTTGATTGGTTGGTATTTAGAAGTGTGTTTGCCGGTGTGAGTCCCTATCTGGCTGGCTGACTTCCAGAAGTGAATCACAGATTGGTTGACTTGCAGAAGTGAGTCAACTCACTGAGGCAAGTTTTGTTCTTTTTTTTTACTGGATATTCTTTTCAAGTGTTTCATTTATTCATGATGTAGCCCACAATCTAACTGCTCTCAGTTGTCAGAAATCATTGAAAACCAAAGTATAAAAATTCTTGCACAGAGGGCCGCCCGAGTGGCGCGATGGTTGGGAGCTGGCTTGGGACGCCAGAGGGCCCCGGTTCGGATCCCACATGTGAGGGCCGGTGACACTGCCCTCCACAGCTAAGATGCTGAACAATGGCTCAACCTGGAGCTGGGCTGCCGTGGGTCGCCAGCGATGGCGTAGGCTGCAGCCCCTGTGGCAGTGGGTTGCCGTGGGTTGCCCTGTGTGGCCAGCAGCCAGCATGAGCGACCAGCTGCCACGGTGAGCGGCCGTCCAGAGGTCGGTGGCTGATCTGCCTCGCCTGGGAGGAGCGCAATGATGGTGCCAACTTGGGCCAGTGGAGCAACGTTCTCCACATCTAGACTGGGGAACGGAATGACAGCAACTTGTCTGTTCCCCTTCCCCAATTCCCCTCAATTCCCCAGCACTGTTCCCATCCCCCCAATTCCCCAATAAAAATCTTAAAAAAAAATTCTTGCACAGAATCTATACTTATGATTCACAAGGCATTTGTCTAGGAAAGTATATTATTAATTTCTTTTTTGTTGCTGTAATACTGTTACTATTAAGCGAAGTATTTTCAATGGTGCTTCCACAGACTACATTATAAGTTGTTTTAATTATACTTTTTATCAATTCTGTTAATTGAAGTTAGTCATCTTGTTCACATACAGGATAATAATTAACTGGCTTGACCACCATTCTATCTTAGACTAGTGGTAGAAATTAAAGTGAAATTTACAAAGCATTTTACCCAAATCTCACTGTAAATCATTACAACCCTGTGATTTAGGCATTGTCATTTTCATTTTACAAAGGAAAAACCTGATGCCCACTTAAGTGATTTACTTAAGGCCACTTAGGCAGATGTGTCAGAGCTAAGATCTCAACCTGGGCTTAAATGTCTAATTCACAATATTCAGTGTCTTATTCAGAACCAAGTTCAAAAATTACCTTTCTCTAGAATAGTTTCTCTGATTAACACTTCTAGATGTTTATATCCTAAAACCATTTAAAAAATTTAAGAATAGCATTCTAAACACAGGTATATGAAATTTTACTAATAGACCATTTAAATGCCTTATTTGATTTTTGTTACCCTGTGGTTTTTGTTTTGTTTTGTTTGATGGATTGATTTTTTACTTTTTATTATTACAGTTCCACACCAGCATCTTGCAAGTTTCAATCTCTTCATTATTACCGGCGTCTAAAGGCGTGGAAAATTCTGAAAAAGCAAAATTGCCTCCTAAGCCAGATACTTCATTTGAAGAGAAGTATGTCATCTATGACCTAATATTGCAATGAGAATTTTTGGAAAAGTAGATCAACCCAAAGCCAGGGTGCATTGCATTTATTTATAAACACAATTGTTTTACCCAGGAAACAAGAAACAGCAAGACATGTTCCAGGGAACCCATATCGGTTATGTATTATTGAAATAAAAGGTGTGAAGCTAAAGTAATTGGAGATGAGGCCGGGAGGTGTGGTGGTCAGGTTAGAGAGGGATTTTAGGGAACTTGGATTTTATATTCTAGGTCATAGGTGGTCCTCAAAGGGTTGCAAAACAGGGATACGATTGTTTCTCCATAGGCAAATAGAATTTTCGGGGAACATAGTCCCTAATTAATTGCCTAATTTTACAAATAGACAAAATAAAATAGAATATCAAAAAAAGAGAAAGAAATAGTTTCCCTTACACAGTTGTTTGTTTTTGACAGTTGTGTTCACTTAGAATACATATGGTCTTCATGAAGTTCATAAATCCCCTTTTTTCCCCACATTTTAGTGATGGAAAAATAATCCTTGGTGCTGCTGTTGAAACCCAGCTGTGTGATAGTCTTTCGTAAGTTACAGTTTATTGAATGTGAAAAATGTGATTGGTATTTTAGAGAGAGGAAGCTTCTGTTACACTAACAATAACCAGTATTAAAAGTGAATGACTGTGAGGCCTGAATAAATTAATGCAGCTGTAATGATTGAGTGGGGGTGGAGGTGGGGGGTTTGTAAGTTACCAAAGAAATACTTGCTCATTTATCATTATCTCATGCCAAGTTTCTGTAGCTCTTAGCCTTCTTCACCAGTTTTCATTTAAAGTTCAGTGCTCAAAAATAAAAAAATTTATTTTTGTGTTGACATGTTTTGAATCTTGCACAGAAGAATCACAGAGAATGATGTGATGGCTGGGAACACTGCAATGGTTTTTTTTTATACTTTCAAATTAATAAACTGGCCTAATATCTATGTTTATCCAAGTTAAAGTCTGAATTAAATTAGGAAAATCTATTTTTAGAAACAGTACTTGAAGATGAGATCTTTTCTGTTCTTACCATTATCTTTTACTTTATTTGGTAGTCGACACTTCTAGCAACTTATTTACTCATAAATACATGAGAAATGTCTTTTAAAAGTTTGTTTATATATTTATATTATTCTGTTTCATAGAGCAAAAGTATAATTTTTTTCTTTCTTTTTAAACTGGGCACATATTCTTGCCTTCAAATTTTGAGTGAGACAAGCTCTGTAAAATTGAATGCTAATTATGTGAAAGAGAAAGTCTTTGGATGTTTATTTACAGTGTTACTTTGCCTTCACGAGGATAGCAAGTGAATTATTATGGGCAGCAATAGGGAGTCCTCTGTTATGCTTTGATCACGATTGTAAAATGAAGTCCTCTGCCAGACTCAGAAAATTGATTCCTTTGTATTGAAAATTAAATTTTTGTCCTTTATTTTAACTATAAGGATTATATATAAATAGCACACAAGTATTTAAATAAAGTTCCTGATGTAAATATATACATGCACAGAATCTAGCACTAGTCCATGGAAAATACTGGTTTAAATTTTCAAATATTGACATCACAAGAATAGTTCTAAGTGTTTTTCCAGCTACTCTAACATGTGCAGGACATTTAGAGTTATTGGCAGGACACTTAACCACTCCTGCTTTTAAAAGAACTAAATGTTATAATTTACTTAAGCACATAAGTGACTGCCTGAATCCAGATTGTCTTTTATTTCCAGGATTCAACCCACACACAATTTTAGTTTCTTTCCAAGATCTTCTACTTAGAAACAGTGGCACCAGAGCCACTTATTATTAATTCTAATTATTATTATTGTTATTTTTAGGACTTCAAGTTTGCAAAAGTCTAGTAGCCTGGACAACCTGAAGAAAGAGTCATCAGATGGGGTTGGTTCTGTGTTTATTTCTCTCTGTTACCCTGAGAAGAAAATATTTAGGGATCTTCATCTTTTCCCATTTGCAAATAAAGCTCTTAAGAAGAGCTTGCGGTTTCTCCAATGGAAAATTACTAGATACCACAGTTAAGGATAAGTATCAAGAAGTATGATATGAAGGATTGAAAGTACTACGTAAAACCAGAAATAGAGACTTAAAAAAAATATTGTTGGAAATACATGAAGCTGAGATTTTGTAGCTTGGAAGTATATGTAAATTAGTTTTAATTTATGGAATTTATGTGATAAATTCTGAATATATAAGGGATGCCTATAACAACCTTAAATATTGTTGTTTTGAACAGGAAAAAGAGTCTATTCAGAAACCTTCAGAGGTAATTTTTAATCCAGATTACAATGTAAAAGTGTGTTAGACTTCTAATACATGAGATTGCTTCCAAATGAGCCAAAATTCTCAGAAACATGCTAAATGAAAGAAGCCAGACACAAAAGATCACATATGGTACAATTCCATTGATGTGAAATATCCAAAGTAGGTAAATTCACAAGAGACAAATATAGATCGCTGGTTGCCAGGGGTGGAGGAGCGTGGAATGGGGAAAAACTGCTTAATGGTTAAGGGGCTTTCCTTTAGAATGATGGATGTGTTTTGGAACTAGATAGAGGTAGCTATTGCACAATATTGTGAATGTACTAAATGCCACTGAATTGTTCATTTCTTTAAGAGTTACTTTTATGTTACATGAATTTCACCTCCCTGAGTTATCGTAAAACAGAAACAGAATGCCAAATTCGCAGTCATGCAGTTTGATGTTCTTCCTGACTGTAACTGGGCTTCCTTAGATCTTATAGAAAGCCCTTTTTAGATCACCAGCGGTTTATTTTATATAACCCCTGTCCATCTACAGCAAAGGTTTTGCTATTGTAAGGACATCCTTGACACAGGCTCTGGTTCTTCTTTCCCCTGATTTTTAATCATTAACCTGGTAAAGGTTACCATCTGGTAGACAGGCTATTTTTCAGATGCAGTCTCTTGACTGTTGGCTCTCAGTGTCTTGAGTCATAATGTAGGTATAACTGACAAATAACAGACAGTGGACAACAGCTAGTAATTAAAGTCATTCTCTGTTCTTTTTGTCTTGCCAATTCAATAGCTGAGTGATTTTGACATCTGTGTTGAGATGTAGATAGTAGTGCCACTAAATTGTGCAGCTATAAATATTTAGTTGCTATGAACAGTACGTAGAGTAAAATAACCACCTTGAAAGCCCATATCCCCTTACCCTTCTCTCTACCTCTGCAAAAAAAAGAAACAGCAAGAGATGTTAGAGAAATGAGAACATCCTAACAAATTCAGCTTTGTATAATACTGAAACAATGTAACAGATCATGATACTATAATTGTCTATTCAAATAACCAGAAAGAGCAAAAAATAAGCAGTATCTGCAAGCATAGTTTAATCACAATTGAAGTTCTTGGTAAAGACCATGAAATACTGTAACGGTCTGAAGTAGCTCCTGAATCAACCAAGAAAAATTGAATTATTGCCAGTTTAGTTTTTTTTAAAGATTTTATTGGAGAATTGGGGGAGGGGAACAGTGTTGGGGAATTGGGGAAAGGGACCAGCCAAGTATATTGTTCTTCAATCTTTGTTGTGGAGGGGGCTAGTCACCATCTGGCTGCCTGTCGGCAGCTCGTGGCTTCTAAACTCAAGGTGCTGTGTTCAATCTTAGTTGCTAGTGGGCGAAGCCACCATCCCATATGGGAGTCGAACCTGGCAGCCTTGTTGTTAAGAGCGCAAGCTCTATCCACTGAGCCATCCGGGCGGCAGCACAGCTTAAGGTGCCGAGTTCAGTCTTTGTTGCGGGTGGCCGTAGCCCACCATCGAACAGGCAATCTTGTTGTTACACCAGCTGAGCCATCCTGCCACCTGTTGGCAGCTCAGCGACAGCTCAACTCCAGTGCAGCGCCACTGGCCCATGTGGGAATCGAACCGGCGGCCCTGTTGCTCAGAGCTCGCGCTCTTAAGCCAACTCTTAACCAACTGAGCCAGTCGGCCAGCCCGCCAGTTTAGTTTTAATGTTAAGTGTATCTGAATGTATCACAGTCTTTGAAAATTGTTGGTCCATGTTTGGTAATTCGCAGGCAAGATAGGAATATAGCCCAGAATCTAATTACAAAAAAAATATTTTAGACAGTTGTTGATTATACCTTCAATTTATTATTAATTCTTTGAGAAGAATATTTAAAATAATTGGAGTACTTGTTGGGGCTATCACTTTGTGAGGTGTGTAAATGTCTAATCATTATGTCATTTTGTATGCCTGAAACTAATAATAAAAATAAATAAAATAATTGGAGTAGAATCTCTTTATACTGCTGGTATAGAAGGTTGGACCTAATGCCTGCTTTGTAGAATAATTATATTATATTTGGCTATATTATAGCCAAATCTGTGTCATCATTGTTAGAAAAGTAAGATGTCTACTGCTATTCTAGTTTTTTATCTCCATGGTTTTTTTTTGGGTGGGGGAAGGGATATGAGAATTTCTATATCTATCCTAATATTTAACATCCTAAACACATGGATTACAGGTTAGTGACAAACATGGTTTTGTTGTTGTTTCTTAAGTAGCTTTCAGAATTAACTTTTTAAACTTCTAATATGGCACTTGATATTCATAACCAATTTGTTAGTTCAGTTATTCTTTTAAATAAAATCACGTGTGTGGCATATTTAGTATTGCTCCTGGCAAATACTAATAATTGTGTGCACTGTTGCTGTGTTTCAATTGCTTTTGCTTCTCTCTCAGGACAAATCTCCAGTAGAAAGCCCGTTTCAGAGCCTCCCTCCCAAAGCTCCAGGACATGAGGCCTCCGTGGATGACAACCCCTTTGGCACTCGTAAAGCCAGATCTTCCTTTGGTCGTGGCTTTTTTAAAATAAAAAGTAACAAGAGGACAGCAAGTGCACCAAACTTGGGTACGCATGGCTGAAATGCCTTTGCCTTAATTCTTTCAAAACGAGGAAAAGATCAATCTCTTCCGGTCCCTTTATTCATTGATTTATACATTTCTCTTTCTCAGAAATGAAGGTGCATGACTTGGATAGAAAGTTAGCCAAAAAATGCTTCTGTGGATTTAAGTCAGTGGTGTGAAGACAGCTCTGGGTAGACTCTCACCCTACTCTCAGTTCTGAGTGTAAACATAGAGGAAAGACCGTAACTATGATTCTCTCTGACTTCATGATAAATGGCTTCCCATCTCTTTTTCAAGTGGATAAATGAACCCCACAGGGACACTGCTAGTGGACTGTGCATCATGCCGGAAGCACAGGGCGGTGCCTGCCTTCCCTCTCACTGTGTATTTGGGGAGTAGGGGTCTCATCTGTGTTTCATTTTGTCATTCCCCTGTGTTCTCTCTCCATTGGGCTGCGTGTGATTGTGTGCGTTGTTGGGATATCTGAAGATCGTAAACGAAGTGCCAGTGCACCCGCCTTAGGTATCGTACCCCTGCATGCCAGCCTGTGCCAGCGCGGTGCTGCAAACCGAGCTAATCCCTGCTCTTGGCATCTGTGATCTCTAGAAAGCGAGCTGGCAGCAATCAACACATGTAGTTCTCTGCTCCACAGTATTCTCTCCACCTTCTGCTATAAAGGACTCTCTGGAGAGCCCTGGCTTCCAAGCGTCAAACTGTCTTTAACCAATGCTAATGACACCTTGCAAGTAGTTCTGAGGGGATCTAAAAGTGCTCAGTGTCCCTCTCAGTGCAGGGCAGGGCTGCCCTGTCATTGTACACTCCAGCTGTTTCACCCTTGAAGCTCACAGTTCCTTTCACACTGACTCCCAGGTCCTCGCAGTTCTTTCTCCATGTTCACATCTTCCCCCGCCTCCAAAAAGAAATATTTTTAGCCAAATAGAGAGGTCTGTGGCAGACAAAGAAAAAGACTTTTTAGACCTACTTCTCAGGATAACATTCTTCTGATATTTATTGCTTTGAAGATGGAGGTAACAATGGTGATGGCACAGGTAACTTTCTGTGTTATTTGAGAAGTTGCCCCCAAAGTGATTTTAGGAGAGGACAGCTCAGTTTTCCTCTTTAAAGGGCAGAGTACAGGAGGGAAAAAACCCTCAAAATAAAAATGAGATGCTTTTATTTTTTATTTTTTGTTTGTTTGTTTTTTAGCTGAGCCATCCTGCCACCTGTTGGCAGCTCAGCAGCAGCTCAGCTTGGGCGGGGAATCGAACCACTAATTGCTCAGAGCTCGCACTCTTGAGCTAGCTCTTAACCAACTGAGCCACTCGTCTGGCCCTGAAAAAAAAAAAAGAGATGCTTTTAAAATGAAGGTGGGCTAGGCAACATGTCAGGGACACCCATACCCATCATGCTGTAGGATTTGAATGGAGAGGTTCCTTTGGGTTCTCCTGATAGGTTCTGTTACCTTGTATGGATAGCCATATATCTACTCACGTGGATCATCAAAGGTGACATTTCTCTCTCTTTGTAGCCTTATATGTCTAGCATGAACACTGGATGGATAAAATAAACTGATCTAGTTAAACAACTATTTTTAAATGTTTTGCCATCTTTCGTGGAAGAAATGTATTGAAAATGCTAAGAGGCAAATGCTGCTTACTATAACCTATAACCACAGCTCCGCTTCATAGAGAAGTCAGCCTCTGCCACCTTTATATCTTGCTAAGACACTGTTCCTGTGATTTTTGTACACCTTTTACTTACCTCTATAAAAGTGTAAAGTCTCTCATTGGAGAAACAGTAGCCCTTGTGTTTGCTAGTGTGGGACCATCCATTCAGGCACAGCTCAAAGAACTAAAATAATTCATGCTTGGAGGTCTGGGAGTAGCAGATGTGGATGTTATTTTTTTAAGGCAAAAATCAACAGACACTAATTTTATATTAAAAGAAAAAGGTACTCATATCTAGTTCATTCTTCTTGCAATGGCTAGGACATATCAGGTTGTAAACGGCAATAAACTTCTCGAATAAAGAATTGCCAGAACTTGGTAACTGATTTGAGGTAAATGCCAAAGGTGAGGAAGGAATGAAAAGAAAATGACAAAGAGTTTGAACTGGAGTACAGGGAGAATATTAATATTAATGCAATATGAAATAAGAAAATTTAAGTGAAGACTCTCAGGAAATTGGACAGAGTCGCTGAATCCATAATGTCCTTGGCACACGAAATTGGGAATATGTACAGTATTCAGATACTGAAGCTGGGGGAAAAGGTTAGGCCTAGAGATTTTGACGCCAACTGCGTACCAATGATTGAAGCCATCATTTAATGCTGAGCATAGAGTGGGCGAGCTTGTCAAGAGATCTTGCAGAGGGACCTTAGAACAGAATCTTGGAGTGGAGCAGAGTGGAGGAAAAAGAGAAAACGGTTGCTACAGCAAGGAAGGACTCATTAGATGATACATGTAGGAGACTGTCGTGACAAGAAGCTAAAAAGGGTGGCGGTTTTGAAGGATGTAGGAAGAAGTCAACAATACAAAGTGGTATAACGAGATTGAGAATAATTTCAAAACACTCAAGGAAAGAATATGGCAATTCTATCAAAAGGGTTGTAGTTCCTAAGTTTATCCACAATAGACTGTAGAGTAGAACATACAGTTTTGTTACATTTTTATTATTTGCAGGGTGCTCTTTGCAAATCACTGATTTATAGACCAACAGAAGAAGAATGCTTACCAGTTGCTAACACCCAGAAGGTTAACATCTAATCATGTTTATTTCATATGTTAAAATTCATCAAGTTTGTATTCTGTTCTTGGAATAGCTGAAACAGAAAAGGAGACAGCTGAGCACCTAGATCTGGCTGGTGTATCTTCTCGTCCAAAAGATTCGCAGGGGAGCAGTCCCTTCCAGATGTCTCCACCATCTCCAGATTCCAAAAAGAAATCCAGAGGCATCATGAAACTCTTTGGGAAGTAAGTAACATAGTGAACAAGTCAAATGGGCTTTGTCTTACATGTTGTTCACATGTAGGCATAGATGGAAAATTGGCTAAAAGTCGGTATGGAATTCTAAAGCTTTTGTGCTCCTCTTCTTATTGGAAGGAAGATTGTGATTTGGGATTCTTTAACACATTGGGTCTCAAAGTTTAAGCCCAAGTGTCTATTCCAATGGCACACAAAGAGAAGTGGCTCAAGTGTATGCACCAATTAAAAATGTTCTGATGAACTTTAAAGTCTAAGGTCTCCTTGGGTCTAATACAAGGCAATGAGTGTTGTGTCTTCTGTTCAGACTTAGGAGGAGTCAGTCAACGACCTTCAACCCGGATGACATGTCTGAAACTGAATTTAAAAGAGGAGGGACAAGGGCAACTGCTGGGCCCCGATTGGGTTGGTCACGAGATTTGGGACAATCTAATAGGTAAGAACAAGCCACACTAAGGGACTTCTGCATCTCTGCCCAAGTCTCAGGGCCTCACGAGCACCTGCCATGTTAATATTACCCCTGAGCTACACAGTCGAATCCATTGCTTACTGCTATGCCTACTGAAAGGGCCCATCATCTTTAGAGCGGTGTCACATGGCCGTGGTTGGTGGACAACTGTACAGAAGATGTGGGCTGTGTGAGCTAGGTGAGGAGCCAGACCCAAAGTGTCAGCAGCATCTGTACTAGAATGACTCTTTGACTTAAATTTTCATAGAAAATAATTGTAAGTACTCGAAAGCATAGCCTTGCAAAGACGGGATAGTGTAGTGTTGAAGAGTCAGTCCTAGAGACAGACTGCTTGGATCAGATTTCTGGCCTCACCGCTTCCTACAAGCTGGGCAGCCTTGAGCCAAGTACTCTCATGCTCTGTGCTGCTGTTCTCACAGTAATAGTTAGTACCTACCCCAAGAGGTGGTTGTGAAGATTAAATGAGGTAATATGTGTTAAGTATCTGGCAAATAATAACTGTTCAATAAATACTAGTGACTAATGGAGCCTGCGAAAGCACTTAAAAGATTATAAGTCCTATCGGAATTCTGAAATGTATCAGGACTATGTAATGTTTTCTCTATGAAGACTCTTAAGAACCTTTCCTACACCCTTATCACAGTTCAGGGCTGGTTTGGAGCCTTGACCTACTGAGCATAGAAAGGGTGGGGTTGGCAAACATGCAGCACACATCATTGGTACTAAATCTTTTAAAAGATAATGGGCCACAAACCTTTTGAACATGGTCCCTCCTATGTTGGTCTCTGGGCACAAGTTTCGTCAATGAGGAAACTCTTTGGCCTTCTTCAAATACTAAACAGTCTCATTTGCCATATGTTCCTTTTGTATACCCCTGGTGCTGATTAAAAAGAAAACAAGTCTTGTTTATCTGCACTTTTTTTTTTTTTCCAAACAGGGATGCTATTTGTCTGTCAAAGTAAAAACAAACAAACAAAAACAGAAATCTGCTTTGGTTACACTTTCCTATACTCAGTGATGGCATATTGCCCTCTTCTCATTCATTACCATCTGGAGACAAATGATAATTCTGCTAAAGTTAATCCAAGTTTGACTTGAGTTTCTTTCAGTCTGACTTAGTGTTTTCTGTTTGGGAATTTCAGCCTTTAAAAAACGGTGGTTGAAACTGATTCAGTGACTTGACAGCTTGGTCTTTTTCTGTAGAACGTGTGTTTGCTAAAACACATTGAATCTCCTGTTGTTTCATTTGAAATGAATACTGTGGTCTTACAAGGTCACTTTCAATTCCAGTGTCACTTCCTCTTCCAAATATGTACTGATAATTAAGCTTTTCATGGTCAAATGTGTATCACCAGGGAATTCCCATATCTGTTGAGTATACAGTTGTTCAACCTTGATGATAAGCCACAGGATTAGCTTTGAATTGTTTTTCCTGCAATTGTTCATCTTTCTGTAGTGACTTGGATATGCCATTTGCAAAATGGACCAAGGAGCAGGTTTGTAATTGGCTTGTGGAACAAGGCCTGGGATCCTACCTGAACTCTGGCAAGCACTGGATTGCATCTGGCCAAACGCTTTTGCAGGCTTCTCAACAAGATCTAGAGAAGGTGACTGTTTCTCTATCTTATTTACACAATGGAGAAAGAGAGAGAGAGAGAGAGAGAGAGAGAGAGAGAGAGAGAGAGAAATTGAGAGATAATATGCATGTTCTACTCCAGAAAAGGGGAATGGGTGGAGCTATTGTTTTCTACTCCAGAAAAGTGGGTGGGTAGAGCCAGTAAGTACGCTTGAAAAAGTCTGAGTTTTCTGCTTCACACTTATTTTATCTCATGGACTAAAAAGGAAGGTCCTTCTTTATGGAATACTTAAGCTATTGGGCATTTTAATGAAAAACAATTGTATAGCCATGATAATAAACTCTAAGCTCAAATTTCTCAAAATCATTTTGTGGTTTTATTATTAGCCCATCTCCTCAAAGTAATATATGCAATTCAACTTCACTTTGCAAAAGAAAAAAAAAAAGCCCTACATTTTATGTTGCATTATTGAACATTTCTTTCCAACTATTTAACATTACTGTACAAAGTAAGAGTAGAATTCTTGTTATGTGTCCTACAGCTCCAGTCTTGCAAAGGAAGGAGCATACTAGTGAATATCTAACACAGCACTAAACTAACTTCAGTGATCTTGGTCTTCTAGGGCCTTTTGTTCATCAGCATCTTCCTAGCCTGAGTTAGTATTCTGATTTAATGTAATTGTTGGCTCTGTAATGCTCGCTTCATTTTGAAGGAATTTGCATCCTTTGCCAGTGGCACCCAGCCCATGTTGACAGAATTGTAAAGCCAGTGTTTCTGTTTATTATTTCAGGAACTTGGAATCAAGCACTCACTTCACCGAAAGAAACTCCAGCTGGCACTGCAAGCCCTGGGATCTGAGGAAGAAACCAATCACGGAAAGCTGGATTTCAACTGGGTCACTAGTAAGAGGCTTTAAGTTCTAAAATTCGTAACTAAGCAAGTAAATAAATAAATACCCCTGCGTTTTCTTTTTTTAATCACAAGCACAGGTGTCGTGTGGCTCGTTAACGACACAGACTTGTCTCTTTTAGGATGGTTGGATGACATTGGTCTCCCCCAATACAAGACGCAGTTTGATGAAGGACGGGTAGATGGCCGAATGCTCCATTACATGACTGTTGTAAGTGATTCACTTCTGGGATTTGGGGAGTAAAATTGTTTTTCTCTGAAAAACCACAGAAAGAGAGTAAGCAGAATACAGTGTTTTCACAATGATTCCACCAGATTTTGAAGGTATTTAACTTGAGGAGAGGGGCAGGAACATTTCCTGTTAAGTTGAAATTGTAGGATTTGGTGGTTACAACAGCCTTGGGAAAATTTGGAACCCTGGTTTAAGCTACGTGACACCTAATTTAAACTGTCTAGAAGGTTGATTTTATCTGTATTCAACAATGTAGATATTGAAGTATACACTTTGAATGGGTGAATTTTGTGGTATGTGAATTATATCTTATAAAGATGTTTAAGGGGTGACCGGTTAGCTCAGTTGATTGGGGTGTCATGCTGATAACACCTAGATTGCTGGTTCGATTCCACATGGGTCACTGTGAGCTGCGCCCTCCTTAAAAGAGTCAACTATGCCATTGTCGCATGAAAAGCAATGTGTAGCCAATGACCATGGCTGTTCCCCAATAAAAAAAAAATTAAAAAAAGAAGATGTTTAAAAGAATAGACTGTGGCGTTTGGAAGTCCTGGCCATTTCTAAGTTATATATTCCCATATACAGTGACTGCAGAATAAAGGCCACCCTTCTGACCTGGTGTCCATAGAGACTTGTCTTCTCCATTCCCTTCCATTTTTGAGAACTGTTACCTGAAACCCTCTCACCCATCTCACTTCAGCCCAGTTCTCCTAGGGCAGGAGTCACTGGGATAAAGAAGTAGTAGTAAAAGGTAGACTTTCACTCTGATTCCATCATCTTTGTTGCATATGTCTAGCCTTTGTCCAATGGGTAGAAGGACTTTCCCCTACTTTACAACAGCGAGGAGAGATGAATTCCAGGAGAACATGTTCTAGACTCCAGGTACTATTAGTGTTCTACCTCAGATAGTTTGATATAAATGGCCTTTTGTGAGCTAGGCTATGGACTTATCTACCACAAGTAGCTCTTTTAAATAAGTTGAAAGTTTCAAACAGCTAACTTCAATAGGAATTTTTCAGTATCAATGAAATTTACAGTTCAACTCATGGGATTTGTTTTTTCCTCTGTCATTGAACCAAAGTTTGTACCTTGGTGGGCATATCGTGGTATGTTGCACATTTACTGTGTGTCAGGCACTCTTTCAAGCACTTTACTCATATTAATACTCGAGTCTCAATAATACTCTTATTATCCCCAGTTTTTAGATGAGGAAACGAAGGAATCAAGAAATTGGTTAACTTAACTAAGTTTCCACAGTTAGAAAGTAGTAGAGAGTCCTAGAGCATTTGAACCGAGGCTGTTTCCACATCCCTGCTCATAATAGCTCACAGCTCTGCCTGGAGCAAATTCAGTACATATTTGCCTACCTATCTAGGTATAAGTATGTTCCC